GCTGCCCTTCTCCTTGACCTATCTCAGCTTTCCCAGGTGGGCCGCCAAAAATTCTTGTAGGTTGAAAACCACAAGCCTATGCAAACCCTGCCCATTTTCCACAGCCCATTCGTATTTCATCTCTAGGAGCTCTCCCCTGATTATACTTCAGCCAGCTCCCCCAACAAAGCCAGCAAGGTGTTGACTCGGTGTTACATGGACTGTTTGGATTGCCTATGGCATTTGCCCAACAAGCTAGAACTTGGTCCTCTTTTGCCTGTTTTTGCTGCTCCCTGTTTGTTTCATGCAGGTAGGCTCTGCTAGTCAGGATAGGCTGGGCTTTGCAGAAGCAACAACCCCACTCTGAATGCGAGTTTCTTTCTCGTTCAAGCTACATGGACGCTGTGCTGCGGGTAGGCAGAAGGCTCTGCTCCTTAGGCTTGTGTATGGACCCACGAAGCTGGGTGTGACATCTTGCAGCTTCACCATCTGGAGCAATGCTGTCTGATAGGACTTTCGGCAACGATGGAGATGTTCTGTATCTGTGTCGTGTGCTATGGTAGCTACTGGCTATGTGTGGCTATGGAGAAATTGAAATATGGCTAGTATGATTAAGGAATGGAATTTTACATTTTATTTCATTTGAATTTATTTAAACTGCTACATGTAGCTGGTTGCTACCATATTGTAAAGTGCAGATCTGTAATATGAGGTCCCTTGTGTACTTCCCAGGTGTCAGGAGAGGACAGAGTGAGGAGAACTCTTGCTTGCTTTCCTAGCCAAGAGATAATCATTGGTCAGAACTTGTCACCAGGCCCCACTAACTGCAAGGGGTTGGAAAGTGTAAGGGGGCACATGAGCATTCAAGGAACAAAAAATGCTTTGCCACAGAACTCTTCCAAATGCAGCCAAATCTTCCTGAGGCTAAGATGCCTGAGGTTCTGGGGAAGTGTGGGGGCAGATTGATATGTCTGGCTAGAGAGAAGGGCGGGGATGGAGTAAGAGCAGAGGGCTTGGAGCTTAGCGGTGCAGAGACAGGCCCAGAGAGGGCAAGGAGCATAGTCACTACCACACAGCCAGGCTGGGCCTCTACTCCTCAGGTCCTAGCTCAAAGAAGTAAGATGGGGAGGATATGATGCTCTGCCTGCCCCTAGGCAACAAAAACCCTGGTTGGAAACATCTAGCCTTTGATTCTGGGTCCCTAGGAAGGGCAGAGCAAAAACTGCCAAAGGCCTGTTCTTGGAGCCCTTGGAAAGGAAGAGGCCCAAAGGCTTTCTGTTTTCAAATGGCCTTGGCCTGTCCCCCTTAAGTGAGTCACCAGCTGCTGAGGGATGAACAGCAGGGCAAGAACCCAGCATGAGGTCATCTGGGTCACATTTCCTGCCTGACCCTAGCCCTGGGGCCAAGTTCATGGAGTTTCCCAAAGCCAGTGAGAAGGGGGTATGCCCCAAGCTGTTGCAGAACTCTGGCCATTGCCAAGGGAGCAGAGGTGAGTGGGTTGCTGCTGGGGTCAGGGCAAGAGCTGTGGAATGGGTATCAGGGGCAACTTGGCAAGGAGAGGAAACTGAGGCCCAGAGACAGGCCTCTCAGGGAAGCATTAGCCGAACTGTGAGCAGTCCTCTCTATGCCCAGCATGAAGGGGTCCCCGAGGCAGCACTGCCCCAGTTTCAGCCTCACAGTCTCCCAGTTGGTGCCTGGTCCAGCTGTCTTTATTCTACTTGGAGACCTACACTACTCAGGCTCTGTCCACTTCTGATTTAAATCCTTGCTGATGTTGGGACCCATTTCTTTTCCTCTCATCTCCCCAGGACAGAGGACAGAGCTCCAGATGGCAGAGAAAGACCACTGTGAGCAAAGAAGGTATTTTATCTGAGCCTGGAGCCTGAGGAGGGAGCCACGGCGTTCCCCAAATCAGGTCAACACAAATCTGCATTTCCAACAAAGCTGAAATGGAAGAAATTCTTAACTTTACAAAGTTTTCTTCATTTTAGAGAAGGCTTCACCGTAGGATTCCATTAAAGCATGGAGTTACCTAGTATTTCATAAAAAATTTGATTAATAAAACTTCTAATTTCATCAGCAAAATGTTATTAACAACTACCATCCTGCAAAGCATCAAATGTTTTTAAAATCTGGCATCCAGTCAAAGTCAGGCCTGTCTATATGCTCCTCAAGCTTCAGGAAACCCCCAAATCAGTTTGGACTATGTTAGTCTCCAATCTGCTCTGACCAGGAGAAGTTAACCTCCATTTTATCCAGGGAAGACTGACTCTGGAATAAAGAATTTGTGCCAAGGTCTGAGAGATTGTTAGTTCTCTCTACTGCACAGTGAAGGAAGCATTTGGAACCTGGTCAGTTGCACAGCTTCTTTGATCCTGAATCCTCCCACCCTACCTGCTGTGTGTCCTGTGGGTTTGGGGCTTCCTAGCGAGGGGGCTGGCTCCGCTGTGAAAGAGGCCCATGTGTACTCCAGAAGCAAACACTCTTTTCCTATTCAGGAAGGGACTCCTTACCGCAGCCTAAAGTGACCTGCACTTTGCTGATATCAATGGAAGATGACATTTTTCAAAGGTTTCCAAATACATCTAATCCAGGTGCTCTTCTATGGTATGATCCCTCCACACCTCCATCAGGGGAGGGGCCGAACTCCCCTTCCCTTGTTTCTTGGTGGGCATCAGTTGCCCTGAGGCTGCCATGCTACAAGGAAGCCAAGCCACAGGGAGAAGTCATCAGCCTTGGCCCAGGTGCCAGGTGTGCAAGTGAGGGGCCTTCAGACGATTCCAGCCCCCAGCTCTAGCCTGTGGGTCTACCCAGCTGCAGCCCCCTACTGCATGGACAAGCCTTCCCTGCTGTGCCTTTTCCAATTCCCAACCCACAGATTCTGGGAGTACAATCCATGGCTGTTTTAAGCTGCAAAGTTGTGGTGTCATTTGCTGTGTGGCCACATAGTAACCCTGCTCTGAGGTCTCAGGTTCCTAACATTTCATCCACAGCACTTGCTGTCATGATTATTAATGAACTACTCTGGCAATTCCTTGTTTAATGATTGTCTTTCCCATTTAACTCTAAGATGTAGGATAGCAGGGGTACTGTCGGGGCCCTCATTCTACTCCTGGGGAGTTGGCCAGGGAGATGCTTAGTGAATATTTCATGAATGACTGATCCTAACACTGTCCTCAGACTGACCCCTACACTTGCCCTCGGAATGACTCTGGCTCTGAATTCAGACTGAGTCTAACCCTGGCCACAGACCAACCCTTAATTCTGGCATCAAATACCTAACCTTGGTGGCAGCCTGAGCATAGCCTCGCTCTGGTGCCTGTGCAATAAGCCTTGCTTCAGACTGACCCCTAAACTTGACCTCAGAATGACCCCTGACTCTGACCTCAGGCTGAGTCCTGGCCTCACCATGGCCCAGATGATCTGGCCCCCACCTCCCTGCCCTGGCTTTTCGCCCTGCCCCGCCCCCATGCTCCCAGTGCGTTGCTCTTCTTTCAGTGGCTGGAAGGTGTAAAGCTCTTGCAGGCCCCGTGCCTCTCTATGCACTCTCCTCCACCAGGCAGACACTTTTCCTCTTAACTCTGACTCTTTCTTTCAATCGTGCTTAATGTCACTTCCTTAAGGATCAGCTAATTTCAGTGAGACCCCCTTTAGAATCGCTCCTAGCATTTTCACACTTTATAACTGCATAAAGCCATACTCATTTTATTACACTTCACTTTAGTATGCTTCCCAGATACTGTTTTTTTTTTTTTACAAATGGCAGGTTTTTGGTAACCCTGCATTCAGCAAGTCTCTTGGTGCCATTTTTTCAACAGCATGGGCTCACTTTGTGTCTCTGTGCCACAATTCGGTAATTCTCATAATATTTCAAACTTTTTCATTATTGTTATATCTGTTATGGGAATCCGTGTTCAGTCATGATGTTTTTATTGTATTTGTTTTGGGGGCACCATGAACCATGCCCATAGAAAAAGGTGAACTTAATTGACAAATGTTGTGTGTGTTCTAACTGTTCCCCATCTCTCTCCCTCTCCTTCAGGTCTCCCCGTTTCCTGAGACACAAGAATATTGAAATTAGGCCAATTAATAACCCTACAATCGCTTCAATATCAAAGATACTGAAATCCAAAGGAAAAGTCACCTGTTTCTCACTTTAAATGATCCAGCTTAGTGAGGAAGGCATGTTGAAAGCACAGACAGGCTACAAGCTGGGCCTCTTGTGCCAAATAGCTGGCCAAAGTTCCCATAGTCTGGATAGATGATCAAACCAGTCACAACATACCCTTAGGCCAAAGCCTGATCTGGAGCAAGGCTCTAATTCTTCTCAATTCCATGAAGGCCGTGAGAGGTGAGGAGGCTGCAGAAGAAAAGCCGGAAACGTGAGGAGGATGGTTCATGAGGTTTAAGGAAAGAAGCCATCTCCACAATGTAAAAGTGCCCGGCGAAGCTGCAGCGAGTTATCCAGAATATCTAGCCAAGATCATTGATGAAGGTGGCTATGCTAAACAACAGATTTCAGTGTAGATAAAACAGCCTCTCGTTCAAAGAAGACGTTAGCTTGGACTTTCATAGCTAAAGAGAAGTCAATGCCTGACTTCAAAGTTTCAAAGAGCAGGTTGCTTCTCTTGTTAGGGGCTAACGCAGCCTTAACTTTAAGTTAAGGCTCATTTATCATTCCAAAAATCCTAGGGACTTTAAGAATTATGCCCAATCTACTCTGCCTGTGCTCTAGAAGTGGAAGAACAAAGGCTGGACAACAGCACATCTGTTTATAGCATGGTTTCCTGAATGTTTTAAGCCCACTGTTGATAACCACTACCCAGAAAAAAAAGACTTCTTTCCAAATACTGCTGCACGTCGGCAATGTACCTAGCAAACCAAGAACGCGGATGGAGAGGTGCAAGGAGACCAATGTTGCCTTCCTGCCTGCTAACATGATAGCCGTTCTGCAGCTCATGGATTAAGTAGTCATTTAGACTTTCAAGCTTTATTATTTAAAAAATATATTTTGTAAGCTGAGAGCTTTCATAGGTAGTGATTCCTTTGATGAATCTTGGCAAAATAAATTGAAAACCTTCTGGAAAGGATTCACCATTTCAGATGTCATTTTAAGAACATTCATGATTCATAAGAGAAGGTCAAAATATCAACATCAGCAGGAGTTTGGAAGACGTTGATTACGTCTTTGGAAGACGATGGATTACTTTGAAGAGTTGAAGACTTAAGTGGAGGAAATAACTGCAGATGTGGTGGAAATATCAAGGAAATAGAACTAAAACCTGAAGATGTGGCTGAATTGTTGCAATCTTATGATCAAACTTAAATTCATGAGGAGTAGCTTCTTATGGATGAGCAAAGAAAGTGGTTTCTTGAGTGGTTCCTAGTGAAGACGCTATGAACATTGCTGAATGTAAGTACTGTATTGTTGAAATGACAACAAAGGATTTAGAATATTCCCTCAACTCAGTCAAAGCAGTGGCAGGGTTTGACTCCAATTTTGAAAGAAGTCCTACTGTGAGTAAAATGCAGTGAAATAGCTTTGCCTGCTACAGAGAAGTCTCTGGTGAAAGGAAGAGTCCATTGCTGTGGTTCACTTCATTGCTGTCTTATTTCAAGCTGTAGCGGCCACGCCCACCGTCAGCCATCACCTGGTCACTCAGCAGCCATCAGCATGGGGCGAGACCCTTCACCAGCAAAAGACTTTGACTCCCTGAAGAATCAGATGATCATTAGAATTTTTTAGCAGTAAGTATTCTAAAATTAAGGTACAACGTTGTTGCTTTAGACATAATGCTATTGCACACTTACTGGGCTACAGGATAGTGTAAACATAAGTTTTACATGCACTGGGAAACCAACTATTTGTGACTCACTTTATTGTGATATGCACTTTCCTGCAGTGACCTGGAAGCAAAGCCGCAATATCTCCAAGGTGTGGCTGTGTGTTTCCGTGTTTATCATTATCTGTTTGATGTTTTTCTGTTCTCCAGACTATAAGCTCCTTCTATGAGTACAGGGCCTGGCACCTACGAGGGGCCTAATAAATCATTGTGCAATGACTGAATGAACAAATGATTGGGTATGGCCTCTTCTAGGAAGCCTTCTCTGTGGCCCTCTCCTCCCAGTGTGGATGTGAGCGCTCAGCTCACAGCCAGCCTGTCCACTGCTGCTGCGTGTGGCCACCTTCTGCCCTGAGCCTGGCTTCTGCCCTCTGCAGCTCTAGCACGCACAGGCCTGGGCGGCTCAATAAACACTGGCTGGCTGAACTGTTAAACCGAATCGATTTTCTCTCAGCCTCCTGTCCAGCCTCAGCTCTCCCAGGTTCGTGAGGGCCCATCAGGACCTGCGCTTCAAACAGGGAACAAGAAGCCGAGAAACTGGCAGTAGGAGGTGGGTGGAGACATCCATCTCCTCCTGCTCTCTGCCCTCATGGCTGTTCTCCTGAGGGTTTCAGGCAGTCAAAAGTTCAGGCTCCACGTTTTCTGGAAGAGGGAGGGGAATCTGTGTGTGGGGGATAAAAAAAAGTCCCCAAACTCAAATCACGCACACAGAACAACAAGTCATAAAACAGACACCATTGGGAGAAGATGGAGTCACATGGTGGGAATCTGTGGATTGCAGGGGAGGGGGAGGCGGCATTTGAGAAAACGCAGCCTCCTCAATGGGAACCAGATGGGCTGCATGTTCTTAAATAGAATCCCAGACTTGCAGCGCTGGGTGGGAGCTGGCCTGGGGTGCTCTCCCCTTGGCCCCTTCATGCGCGGAGGGGAAATGGAGGCAGAGGGGGGAGGTCATGGCCCAAGATCTCAAAGGAGCAGCTTCCAGACCCCAGGCTCCTGGCCCTGGGTCAGGGCTCCGCTCCCCCGCCACGCTGTCTCCCAGCCCTCTGCCAGTATCTCCAAATTAGAAGCATATCGGGAAGCAGTACTGTCATTCCCCCTTTTCTTCTCTTTCTTCCAATTCTTTCTCTTTGGAGTATAATTTTAGAGGTGCCAGGAAGTCCCTGTTGTTCCACAATCCCCACCCCCACCACTGCTCCAACAACAGAACCCAGGACAACAGTGATTAGCCTGTGACCCGCACTGTGCTAGGGGCTTCACAGCTATTTGCCTCTGTAATTGTCCTGGGACCCAGTGATAAAGGGGTTGGCCTATCGGTTCAGCCACCTGTAGAATGGGATGCAGGATCCAAGGTGGGGTGGGGACACAGGGATCACATATTGCCATTTTGCTTCTTACTGATCACTTAGGATCACCTAACCAGAGACCCTTGTAGCAACAAACACGTGAAATAAAGCTTACCCTTAGGGGATGAGGCAAAGCTCCAGAGATACTGAAATCCAAACGGCTCCTACTTTCCCCTGCACTGCTGATGGCTCCCCTGCAGGAACCATTGTGTGGAAACATGGAAGTGGTCACGACTTCCTTACTTTCACTGACCCCTCCTCCCAGGAAAAGGCATCACTGGTCTATTTCCCAGCTCCTCTAAGAAACAGATTCTCACGGTGTCTTCCACACAGCACCGCAGGCGGCTCCCACCACAGGGGAGCATTGGCACAGAGTGTGATGTGATTGACAGCCCAGGCCTGCCCCTGAGCTTTCCTGATGCCCACCCAGGCAGGAGGCAGGACCTCAGGCCTCCCAGGAGCACTGTGAAGAATCCCTGCTTGTCTGGGCCTCAGAGGTGTCTGGGTCTCTTAGCAGGTGGGGTAAAAAGTTGGATATCCACTTCCACTGAAAACTGCCACCCTTAAGCTTGCCACGGGGCTGGGAATTCTTTCTGTCTAACCCCTCCTGGAGCTACCGTTGTCTACGACAACCAATCATGCCATCCTCTAGTGGTCATTAGCATATAGCACGTGCCTGATTCATAGGTGAACAAGTGGCTACATGAGGAGCTGCAGGGATTTCTGACAGCGGAAGAGCCTGCGCAGAAAGGCTGGGGGTGAGGCCCGGACACACACAGGGGCCCCGACACACACAGGCAGCTGATGTGGCTGCAGCGCTGTGGAGTGAGGAGAAGAGCAGTGGGAGGACTGGGAGATGTGAACATGGAGCAGGGGCCAGCTCCAGGCTGGAATGCCACGACAAGGAGTCGGGATTTTATTCTATCAATAAGAGCAACGGGGAGCCTTTCAGAGCATTAAGCAGGGAAGGGATGAGACTAGCCTACAGTTCTGAAACCTCGCTCTGGCTGGAGTGGATTTAGAGGGAATAGGAGTTAGAGCAGAGCGTCAAGAGTAGAGGCTACTGCAGGGGCCAGGCGCGTGAAGGTGGCCGGGACAAGGGCGGTGTCGGTGAGAAGCAGGGGGTGGATGGCTGTGAGTGTGTGTTAAAGGAAAACTTGACTGGACTTCCTGAGGAATTGGATGAGGGCCAGGAAATGTCCTAATTTGGGGCCTGAATAAGTAGAGAAGCTAGAAGGGACATTCATGGGGAGAGAAAGGTCAGCCTCCTTCCCTAACCCTCCCGCCCTGACTTCAATCTGTGACTTCAGCAAGCGAGTAACGTGCTGTGGCCTCTCTCTGCTCCCTTCCTTGCAAAGCAGATGGAGAGAGAAGGAAGAAGGCCAAGCCTCCGCGGCTGTGATCGTACTTTCCACTTTTAGCTCAGCAGTTGGGAGCCCATGGCCTTGCCATCCCTTGCCTCCCACTCCTGGCTCTCTTAGCTCTGCTCTAAATCTAAGTCAGCTTAGTATAATTTACAGAGCGCCTGCTGTGGCCCAGCCACGTGAAGGCCACTGGGAGCTCAATAGGAGAAGGAGCACATGCAGTCCAGCCTCTGTGACCTGGGGAGAGCCAGGAGCACAGGCCCAGAAGGGCTGGAGCAGCCAGAGAAGCCTTCCCGGAGGAGGCAGGGCTTTGGCTTGGCATGGAGGATGGAGAAGACAGAGAGGAATTCCTATGAAATTACTTTCATGATAGGAAAAGAGTCCTGGAAAGCTGTGGACACTTATATGAGGTCAAATAGTAGGAACTGGAAGCAGAGCCAGCAGTTCCAATTCCTCCCAAGGCAGGGAAAGGCTAACTCTATCTATGCCTTACTGTCCCAGACCACCACTGGAGAGCAGGTAAGCGGGTCTTTGAAGGCAGCCATGTGCTCATCTTCTGTCCTGAACCTCCCCCTATAGGAGGTCAATGTGCCAATTCTTCTAGAAAACTCCAGTGATTTTCAAGTGACACCAGAGTAGCAGTATCACTTGGGAACTGAATAGAAATACAAATTCTTGGGCATCACCCCAGACCCAAAATATGAATTAGAAACTGCAGGTGGGGCGAGGTAAGGCCCTGGAATCTGCATTTTCCTAAGCACCCAGGGGATTCTGATGTGCAGTCAAGTTTGAAAACCATAGCTATCCTGGACAAAACTTCCCCAGACTCGTGAGATGTTTCTCTTCTGCTGCAATTCCCTGAGTGAGAGCTCCCAGGCGGGCCCCTCCAGGATGGAACCCTGCCTCCTCCCCAGAAGTCACTTCCACCCATATGGACTCTTTACTCTTTAAGTTGACTGCCCACTTCCACCCAGGCCTGTGGAGTGAAGGCCAGGTGGCAACATCTGCCTTCTCCCCTCCCCCACCTCTCCCCTCCTGGCTGGCCACAGTCACCAAATGTCCTCGGGGGAGTCAACATTGTCCATCAGTCAAGCAATGGAATAAATGGAGGGACTTTGTGAAAAGGGAAGAGGGGATACCCAGCGCCCCATCCTAGTTTAGTTCATCAGGCTTTCATTTTTGCCCCAGAGACCCTTCCCTAGCAGTGAAGAGATGTGTGACATCAAGCCATTGGCACACTCACGCTTGGCATCTTTAGGTTAAAGAGAAAAGGCTGGTGTGCATTTCAGACACAAAATCAGTTGTCCGCTGGTGCTTCCTGGGATGGACCACTTTATTGTCCCCAGGGATCCCACAGGACAATCTTACAGCCAACTAGGGGCCTCTGTTTTCTTTAAGACTGTGTGCGAGATCCACCCACTGAACAGACAGACACCTCCTCTGCAGAGCTCTTGGCAGAACCCTGTGGGAGGCGCTGCGTGCAGGCGGGGGGTGCTTCCTGTCAGTTAGGCCCCTCCTCTCCTATGAGCATTTGCTAAAAACCAAATTTCTTATATCAATTTTTTCATTGCTTTGATCGTTTTCTTGTTTAAGCCCCCAGTGAGGGAGTACGAACTCTACTTTCATGAAGCTATGTTTGTTTAAACTGCACATGCTGGGAGGGGATGTTTGGTGCTATCTTAGGCAGGGCCAAAGAAGAGTAGGGCGTGATCCAACCTCCTCCAACAAGTTGGCAGAGGAGGTTGTGTGTGTGAGCATGCGTGTGCCTAACTGCCCCTGTTAGAAAGGGCAGGAAGCCGGGCGCTAGCCCAAGCTTCACCACCAACAGACTGTGGCTCTGGGGGAGTCAGGCAGCCTCTCTGAGCCCCAGTATACCCATCTGACATGCAGAAACAATATTAGTTCTGCATCCCCCCCTTGGGACTATTGTGGGTATTAAAGGAGCTAGTGTCTAAAGTAGCATTAAAAGTACTGATGGCTACACAAAGCAAGGCAAAGTAGTCACTAACAGAGCCGTCGCCTCTTTCTTGAGAGCAGAGACGCGGCTTTCCCATGTTTTGTATTCCCCAAAGTACCTGGTACAACCCATGGCAGGTGGTCAATCAATACTTGCTGAATGGATGAAATAGAAGACATGGACCCTGTCTCTGCAGAACTGAAGATCTAGCCAGGGCACAGTGGTGGGGATGAGAAACACACAATGGAAGAAACTTAAGAAGAGTAGGGAGAGGCCCTCATTAGCTCAGACACCTCTAATTTAGAATTCGTGATGCTTTTACAAGGCCAGAGAGGAATTGGACCCTGCTGATGGGAACATGTGCTGAACAAACTCCTAGTGGGAACAAGATAATAATAACAGGAGCTACTGGCCTCTGGGCAAGTGTTGTGTTCCAGATGGCAGAGGGAGTGCTGTGCCCTTTGGCAACACCCGGTTGCATGGGAGCAGTTAGCATGCCAATCACAAGTGAACTCTGACCTCATCTCTGAAGCAGCCAGTACCTTTCCCTGACCACACTTTGTTAATGGCTGTCCTGGGTGACTTCATGTATTTAAGGAACATAAAACTTTATTTTGTTAAGACTAAACTATTACTGGCCTCCCTCTGCCTCCTCCCAAGCAGCTCAGATCCATTCACAGTTTTCAAATAGAGTTGATGACAAAGCACATGCAACCAACTCTGTCATTTCCCCAAGAAGAGGGAACATGGGATCCTGCTCTAGCAGTCAAGGGGAACCCTGGGGCCAGAGCTTCTGGGCTGCTGGAGGGCCTGGGAGAGCTAGCCACTGCCCCTTCCAGGGCCACAGGTGCCCCAACAAAATCAAGAGTTTGGACCCAGTGATAGTCAGCGTAGGTGTCTGCTGCGCTGGACTCTCCTGGCTCTTGGCCCAAGAGTGTGCCAGGCCTGGGGTTGTGTGAGAAGGCAATGGCTCCTCCTGGGCAGTGCTCTGGCCAGGGGAGATGTGCGCACCAGAGGGTGGAGGCAGAGGTGGCCCGGGTTGTTTTGTCCATGCGTCCTGGCCTCAGACGGTTTGGCCAGGTTCCCAGCGGGGACTGGCCTCAGACAGAGGGAGTGTCCAGTTAAGCCCTGCCAGTTAGGGCTAGAGAGGAGGAGGCAGAGGCTGGTGGATCGAGGGAGGGGGGCATCATCCAGTTTCCACAGACCAGGATGTTGGGAGCTGGCCCAGGTCAGCAGAAGGCTGGGCCACAGGCCACCCTGCCCCTCTGGGGGTGTGACTTCTGGGTCCCCCTTCCATGAAGCCTCCCCTCTCCCCATCCTGGGTTTGGGCAGAAGCAGGGCCAGGAGGGAGTGAAGAAAGGGCAAAGGGATGACATCTGAGGTGGTTCCCAGGGAAGGTTTGCTCTTCCTCTGGAGTCCCTGTCCTGGGCAGGAGACACACCGCAGCAGATGGAGGGGTGATTTCAGTTATCACTCGCCTTCCTGCAGGGGTGCTTCACATAGTCCACAGCCTGTGGGGCTCTCAGAGGGGCTCTGGCTTGGCCCGTTTTCTCCTTTCTGTAGCCTCCCCACCCTCCTCCTCCTCTATGTTCTCCTTCCTCACCTCTCCCCTGGATGCTTGGCTGGCACTCTGGTCAACCTTTGCAGGAAGCCAGTGCTGCTGGCCCGGCCCCAGGGAGCTGTATGGCCTTGTAGTTACAGGGTGGACTGCAGCCTGGCACCTGCGTCTCCTGGCTTTGTCTGCTCTCTGGGGTTTAGGCCTCAATGTCCAACACCTCTGGGAAAAGAAAGGCATGGGACCTTTCTCTAGCTCTGTCTCCAGTAGGGGACAATTCCTGAACCCTGAGTAACTGCAGAGCAGCACGGGGGAGGGGGTGCAGAAGGTAGAGTGGCCCCGAGAGAGCGGCTGTTGACTCACCCATCGGCAAGGGTGCTATCTCCACAAGGGCAGCCGAGCCCCATGTGTGTCCTGATCCACCTTGAACTGAGCACTTCCTGTCCTAGGGCAGGTGCCACACAGCACCTTTGCGCATGTTAGTCAAAGGCACCCCTTCCTTGGGACAGACACAGCTCTTCCCCAGGGCTAATCTCTTGGCAAGAGGAGCCTCCACCGGGCCCCACAGCTGGGTGCTCAGCCAGATAGGCAATTATCAGTGAAGCACAGTGAAGCGAGGGTAGTGGAGTGAGAGGGAGCTGAGCATCAGGGATGTGAGGGGAGTGGGTGACTCCTGGGAAGGTCTCGTGCAGGGAGTGGGATTTGCTTAGGTCCTTGAAGGGCAAGTCAATTTCACAGTGGCTGACAGTCCAGGCACAGACAAATGCAATGAGCACTGGCATGGAGGCTGGCAGGTGAGAGCCGAGGTCCCCGCTGGGGAGAGGGGTGTGTGGAGAGTCCCGTGTGGAGATGCTGTGAGGCTTTCAGCTCCAGAGAGAGGATTTCTGTCTCAGTGGGTAGGAGGCAATGGCGGCAGGGAGTGAGCACAGGTGGGCCATGGTGGGGCTCCTGTTGATTGATCTGTAGCCGCTCAACTGAGATGGGCAGGAGCCAGCAGATTCACTAGGTGGGAAACCCAGGAGGGCTGACTGCCACGGTTCAGCCCCTAAGGGCTGCAGGGAAGAAGGAGAAGGGCCAGAGTTGGACATCCCTCAGAAGGTTGGCATGGCCAGCTCGGGGCAGCAAGGAGGGCCCTGGGGAGACCCCTCTGCCCAGAAATATCACAGATAATTAAGATTTAACAAGCCCCTTGCTGAAAGGTCCAGGTGACTGTGTGAGATATTTACATCTAGTTTTTTTTAATGTAAATCCTTATTGGTCCCAAGACATTGATCTTATTGTTATCCTCATCACATGGATGAGAAAACCAAGACCAGAAGAACTTACCATTTAGCTGGAGGTCACATGCTGGGAAGGACTTGAGGCAGACTTCAAACCCAGGCCTGCCTAACTCCAGAGCTCCCCCTCTGTTCTCACCCCACCCCTATGCCTCAAGTGGCCTCGCATCTCTCTGAGCAGGTCCAGAGTTGACTCAGGGATCTGGGCTCCCAGGGAGGATGCAGCACATGCTGGGCAGAGGGTCTTGTCTCAGGTCCCAGCCCTAGAGGGATGCTGGGCATTAGTGGGAGGGAACGGGGTCTGGGCCTGGACTCTCCCTGGTGGGCGGCACGGCTGAGTGTCAGGGTCTGAGCAGAGGAGGAGAAGGAAGAGGCGGAGGAGGAAGAGGAGGGCCTGTAGCACTCTGCCCTAACACTATGTGCTTTCTGCTCCTCATGTCCTTCTCACACCCTTTTTTGCTGCCTGCTCTGACACTTTCTGGCTGAGGTTCTGGGCACGTCTCCTCTGAGATCTTCACGCTTTCAAAGTGGAGCTAGAATAACATCAAGTGGTTGTGAGGTTCACTGACACGATATATGCTAGGAACAGGTCTAAGCGAACTGCTTAGTTCCAGTGAGCATCTTTATCTGCAAAGTCCTTGCCATTTTTCCTCTCTCCCATAGCACATTCCACTTTTAAAGCCCGGTGTAAATGCTTTCTCATTGCTCTCGGCAGAATCCATTTGCTGTGATTGCTGTTCTGCTGGCAGCTTGTTAAGAGCTTTATCTTATGGTTTATCACCGTCTGACTGCGTCATCTGTGGAGGATGTGCCTGTCCTTCCAGACAGTGAGCCCCCTGAGGGCAGGGGCTGTGTTGACTTGTTAGTTTGCTCCTCCCTGGCTCAAGAGGGCACAGCTGTTGGGATGCTCTCAGCAGACCCAGCGCTTGCCCTCAGGCCATGCCCACCCATCTTCCTTCCTCCTCTCTGAGATCAGCCGCCTGGCTATTCTTTATTCTACTGACTCTCTCTTTCTCTGTGAGTACAGGCCACTCCCTTTATCTAGAAATGAGTTTCTCTTTTGATGTTTGTGTCTTTACTTTCTCAGGGATTTCTTTCCTCTGGTTACTCTTTCTCCATTCTTTTAACAAAGGTGGGTTTCACAGCACTTTGAGTAATTGCAACTCAAAGCAGTCGTGCCTGCATGGAGCTGAGCTCCTTCCCCCTGGCCTTCTGCCTGGGCCTCCTTCTCCCAAGTCTGGATGCACAGATGCTTCGCTGCTACCACATTAACGATCTGAGATGACTAAGAAAAAAGGCAGAATCATACTAAGCCTCAATACAGATTGACGGGCAAAAGAAAATATGTGTTTATATCTAAATAACGCAGAGATGGTGATATGGTCTCCAAACCCCACTTCCTCTGCCTCTTGGGCAAGGTATTTGCCAGCCCTCTTGCAGGGACATGAGACCAGTGACTAAGTTGTGGCCAATGGGATATGAGAAGGAGTAGGTGACTCCAGGCTTGGCTGTAAAGGGTCCAGCAGAGAACTCGGGAATCCATGGAGGTGGCAGATTCCAGGTCCCAGAGTCACACTGAGGAGACAGTCACCCCCAATCAGATGAATATGCACTGGACTGCTACCAAGGAGAGAAAGAAACTCTTGCTTTGGTTAAGCCATTTCAATTTGAGGGCTGTATATTACTACAGTTATCCTACCCTGATACAATCCCAAGAGTATCTGTGGATAGATACTCTTGTATTCTATGCTCACATGGATACATATAGCAATAATATAAAAATAAATAGCTAATGAAATCAAGATGGGGCAAAACAGATTAGGGAGTAAGACGAAGTCACGAGTAAAAGGAAGATCTTGCAAATCATAGGAAAACCAACAAGGAAAAGAAAAATATTTCAATGGAAGAAAAGGGAGGAAAGCTCTGGACAAGCGATTTGCAAGTGAGTTAACCCCAAGGCCAATACATACATGAAAAGGTGCCCCTAATTATTAGGAAAATGCAAATTGAAGAGGCTATGTGGTTACACTTTAGACCTCTCAGTTTGGCAAGTGACATGATGACAGGGGAAAGCAGGAACCCCATGGCTCCCTTGATGGGAATGTAAATTGCTGCAACCTCCATGGACACTGAACTGATAATGCCCAGTAAAGTTGAAGATGTGCATCACCCACTCAGCTAGTCTATAGAAGCTCTCACACATATGCACAACTAATAGAGATAGGATGCTAATTGGCTGTGAGCTTCCTAACAGCTAAAGCAAAGGGAAACATGATTATTTACAGGATTCTCAAAAGCAGACCAGTGGCTGTGACTTCTTGGCCATGAGATCAGAGAAATTTTTCTCCTATGAATTGCTCCTGGGAGCAAGAGGTACTGTGACAGATGAGATTATAGGCAATTCCTCATAATAAATAGTACATTTCAGACAATTTACTAAGTTTCAAACCATGTATACAGTTATATAAAACCTATTTTTTTTTAGAGATGGAGTCTCCCTCTGTCGCCTAGGCTGGAGTGCAGTGGTGCGATCTTGGCTCACTGCAACCTCCACCTCCCAGGTTCAATCAATTTTCCTGCCTTGGCCTCCAGAGTAGCTGGGACTACAAGTGCATGCCACCATGCCCGGCTAATTTCTTTTGTATTTTAGAGATGTAGTTTCACTGTGTTGCCTAGGCTAGTCTTGAACTCCTGAGTTCAGGCAGTGCACCCACCTCAGCCTCCCAAAGTGCTAGGATTACAGGCGTGAGCCACTGTGCCTGGCTGTGAAAACTTAGTGTTGATTATAGAAATGAAATGCAAGCTGAGGCCCAAAAGACAATTCAATAACAGCAGTTATAGGAGAGTTCAAAGCCATGTGGTCCAAGTATGAGCTCTCTGATGACTTAGGATGGCCGGGCTTGATTCAGGGATGAGATTTTCAACATCACCACAGTTCCAGGAAGAGTCATGATGACTGTTTCCACAAACCAAGTATTTGAATAGAACTGAGTAGCAGAGTTCAGGTTAAAATTTCAGGCAAACAACCAGAGTGAAAGTATCTTCTGCTGTTGATTTAAGACATGGCCTTGAGCTCTGCTGAGTAATAAGGCGAGAAGATTGCTACTTCCCATGCAGATTAATGAGTCCTCAAAAGGAAATGTCTGGGTAGATGGCTCCTAATCTGGAGGGGTGTGGTGAGAGTAAAAGTGAGGGAAAATTGTATTAAGAAGTGGAATCTATGGCGGGTTCCTAATCACAGCATTTTGATAGGAGCCTCTTTGTAACCAAAAGAAAAGTGAGCCATGGCCAGTGTTCTATCTTCCATTGCTTCTCTATAAGAGCTCAGGTTCAGGTTCAGAGTTTATTGACTTTAGTTCTGAAAGGCCCAGGTCATGACCCAAGTGCACAGCCTTGAGGGCTTGGAGCCCTTGCAGGAGTGGGTGCTTGTCATGTCCCTTAGTCTAGTCTTTCTGCTGGTCATGTAAGAGCTACAGAGCTGAACCTAATGCTTCAAGTCCCAGAGAGAAAGGTGGGGCCTAGAGACCAGTCCCCACTTATCCCACTTAAAAACGGGTCTTTTTCTTTTCCTATGTGATTCTCAGAGTTGGGAGGTGGGCATCAAGGTTCTCGGGACACATCTGATCAACCCTAAAACCACACAGCCCAGAGGGTTCCTGCCTGGGAGCCGAAGGCCAGGCCAGTGCGATCCACACTGGGAAGACGGTGGGTGGCTTTCAGCTGGGGCCTCTGCTGGGCAGAATGGTGTGACAAGGGTCAGTGGGGGTAGTCACTGTGATCCCACATTTGAAGTGTACAGAACAAGAAGCGGTCACCTCCTGCTAAGATTGAAAGCAACAGGCTTGTATGTCTAATCCTGACAGAAGGGAAGATTTGTCCTTTTGGTGGGGACAAGAGACTTGGCTTTGGCTCGAGCCTGTGGGTATCCACCCAGGAAATGGAAGAGGCAGTTTGCAAGAATTTGGGCCTACCACCTAGGGCAAATGTTTTGGAGCTCTGGGAGCAAAGAGGCCTTTTATTACCTTTCCTCAGCTCTGGGAGGCCATCGCTAACCAATGACATCACCAGGTGTAAAGGATGCCACTGGACTCTGCCCACATACCCTTTGGCAGTCCTGTGTGTCCATCCCCAGCTCCTGAGAGCTTTGCTTCTAAGAGTGTGCACCTTTGAAAGCTACTCTCTCGTCACTGGAGCCGCCTCTCCCAGACTGTTGGAGATCTAGAAGCGCTAAGAGTTTCTATCCGCCTGGGATGGATTGAAGTTAAGTCCTGTTTGGTGTAGGAATGCAAAAGCTCAGGTTCGTTATTTCTAGGATGATAGA